GTTGGCTTCCCCCAGTAGGCTGGCTTAGTCACAAGACTGTAGACTGCAGCTCCATTCAACGGTGTTTGACAAGTTAAATTGTTGCCAACAAAGTCTGTCATTTGTGGTCTGCCAAATTTGTGTCTGAACACCACTGCTACACCCGCAGACATATGCTTGGGATCGTTGAAATCTGCCGATATTGAGTGGCCAAAAGCTAGGGTGTGATCTTCCCTCAGCTCGTCTATAGCATGACTCATATCTGCATCTATCACATTTATAGAATTTTTACCTGACTTCTTTGTTAAAATAGACTTCATGGATTTCTTTTCATTGTCGTTTTGTGTAAGTAGAGATATTGTTTTAGCAATGTTTATTTTTCCTCTTTTATTGAAGTGCAGACCGTGATTGGTATAGTAATGACGGGGCAGTACATGTAATGGTAGTAGTTTTAAGTTTTCTTGATCAATGGCAAGTTTCTCAATATCGGCATTGGCTTTACAAATCTTAAGGTCCAGGTTGGGTTTGTCGTGACGTATTGGAATTGTGGCTAATATGGGGTTTGTGTGGTCGGTGTGACTTATGAATATCATCCATGAGACGTTTATTACTTGTAGTTTCAACATTGTTTGTGCCCGCAATAACTAGGAGGTGATCTTTTTTACTCAAATCTTTGCTCAAATCCTTGACTTCTTGTATTACCTGGTCAAACTTTGCTCCTGATCTGACAAATGAACACACATTTAAAGGGCTTCTTTCTTCAATTAGAGAACTTAAGTTTTTACTGTGGCTGTCTGACAATATTACAAGTTTTCTGCGTAATACAGAAGTGCCTTTTTCTTGATTTACAGCAATATTTCTTGTGTTGGATTTCTGGTTACTATTGATTTTGCTATTCATGTTTAGTGTAGGTGAATTTGAATCAGAAGTTTTCGGTGATATAATTAAACTGTCCTGTGAGAGAACTTCATATCTGTTTTGACACACAACATTGTCAGTGTTAGTTCTAACCTGAGAATAGCTGGGTGCTGTTACAGTATGCCAAGCAGGGTGATTTATTGTTGATGAAGGCTTTAGTGGTGGAAAGCAATGGATACAGTTTTGTTTAGCATGTTTTAGTTCACTAAGCTCATCTAGTAAAGATTGATTGTCATTTTTGATAAGTTCTATTGTCAGCTGAAGGTTTTTATTTTCATTTTTTAACTCATCTAACTCCTTTTTGAGAATCCGGGTATGAAAGTCTTCATATTGGGGTTTGGCAGGGTTGGATTCACTTGTTGAAGGGCTGTTAGAATTTAAAACAGAATGAGGTGTACTAATCACATTTGTTATAGATGATTGGTACTTATCACTAGGGAGTGATTCATTTACTGCTGTATTGGGAGTTGAACATTTTACAGTAGCATTTTTTTTTGTGTTATTTTCCTTGGTAGAGTATTTCATATGTTTTGGCATAATAGGGCTTACTGTTTTATTTAAATCTTTATGACTAGCCCAGCTATTTGCTATTTCAGACAAAGCTAGTCCATACAGCTCTTTATGTTTCAACGCTACCGATTCTATGGGATATTTTAGTTTGTTTTCATTGTATAAGCATAAATCATTTTTGTTAAGTTTAGCAATCTCATTAGTAGCAAAGAACTTAACTTCATACTTGATGACATCTTTGTAGGATTCCTTATCAACATTTAAGATTTGGGCAGGCCAATAAGGGTATCCTTTCACCTTCCCAAAAATCTGATCATTAATATGAAAATTCATTTATATAGTGAGAATCAGATTTCATTAATTGACTAGATATATTGATAAATAATAAAATATCCTGTAGTTATATTTCCAACAGCAGCTAAACATTTGTACAGTACCGGTAGTCCTATGAGTAAATTAAGCACCAGAAAATTAGTGCCAAATTAATACATAAGCTCTACTATGATAGCTTAGAGCAGGAAAAATTAGTAATTAATAGTTATCAGTGACTGGGGGTAAAATATAAAAATCAAATCATAATTTTTGTTATTATTGTTGGGACCACATAAGTTTGCAGTTGAGGGAGGAGCCTATTTACCATATGGGTTTAAATGAACCAATGAGAACCGTGCGGTGTTGCCAAATCTAAACATACCAGCTGATTTGAAAATATTGCTTAGTATATTTTATTAGTGCGATGTGGCAATGTTGCACTAGCCTTGTCTTGTGATTGGCTGCTACCAACTGCAAACTTACGTGGTCCCGACATTAGTGAATTTATTCAATTATATACAAGAGTATAAGTTACCTTTTCTATCCAAGTAATCCTTGAGTCGTTTGTATGGAAACCGGTTTCAACACCTATGGCATAAATTTTCAAACAGGTGGACATGAAATTTTCACTTGTAGGAGGTCATGATAAGTCTTAAAAACAATAACACATACAGTCACACACAAACAAAACATGGTAAAATGCATGGTCTTACAACTTTTTACTAAGGCATGGTGAAAGGTACAGGTTGCAGGTCCAGACTCAAATGCAGATCCATATTTCTCATTCAGCGTACACAGCGATTGCCGGGGGCTTTGACTTAGGCCTGATTTGGGGCCTCAAAAGAATTTTTCTCATCTCATGAAAAATTTAAATCAAAATGAAATTAAATTAAATGAAATACAAAATAAAATTAAATGAAACTAGTGCACCTGTTGCTCGAATTTGAGCAATTGCTAAGTATTATATGTGTTATTTCAAAACGAATAACCCTAACAGTCATAATTTCCTATGTAAAAAAGTCAACTCCAAGATAATGTAATCAATCACTCCACTCCAGTTATCGAAATTAAAAACGAACTCACTCTGAAAACGAACGCTCTTGTATGTATCATATGTTTACTATAATCAGCTGCAATTAATACAAATTATTCGTCTGTATAAGTAAACAAAATCTTTTCTTCATAAGAAATACATTGGGATTTCGATGGCTTGTGGGGAAAAGTCCGAGGACTTTTATGACAGAATTTGTTGAAAGGGGGCATCTACACAAAAATACTTTATTTTGACACGTCGTTTGTAAATATCCGCTCATTATTAACCATAATGCTAATAATGCAATTATTCATTATTATTGTGTTTAGTAGAAATCGCCTTCACGTGTTATATATCCTTATAGCACATGTCTCCAATTTTAGTATAACCAGCTGTTTAAAATATTACTATCAATTTCAAAGTATTCATCTGTTCAAATGTAAACAAACATGTTCTCCCTAAGAGTAAGATGGGAACTTTGAAGGCCACTGGGGCAGAGCCCTGATGGAATTCCAAAGTTTTTTTTTTTTTTTTTTTGTTTGATGGCACATTCTAAGATCTTTCTAACGACACCTTGGACATGGTGATTGGTAGCACCAGCGCTCCAAAACAATTATGAAAAAAATATGCCTAGCGTATTAAATATATAGATACGTTTATTTATCCCAATATCATTACAGAAAGATTAAAAAACAGAAAGCAAGAATAACTAGTACAACTATTGTCAGATGAATCTGCCATACTTATGGGATAGGCGTACATGGGCAGGTGCCTGTGCGTAGGCCTAGCTGTTATCAGTCTACGTAATTTGAAGGGCAAAAAAATTGAATATGGGAAGGATTTTTTTTTCTTGAATATTTGAAAGAAAAGTTAAATGCAGTTGTGAGAATGTTGACGACGACAACCAAAGCCAGTTCAATCAAAAGAAGACAATTCGAAGGGTCAAGGATTTTAGTCAGAGTCAAGTAAGGTTTGGTCAAAGTCCAAAGTCTCGGCCTCTTCTTTGGTAATGAAGTGCAGAAAAACAAGAATATGCCTTTTGAATTGGAACTATAATGAGAGTGAACTAAAAACGTGATGAACATCATATTTTTGAATTAAATTTCGATAGAGGATCCGAGCAACGTAAAAACAGTTGGTAGCAAGAACTGATTTATGTACCTGAGGAACAGATATTCTAACATTGTGCGAGTATCTTGTGACGTGCTGATGTGTGATTGCTGTAAGAATCGTGTTTGAGTTTTTGAATGTGTGATTAAGAAGAATCTGGATGAAAAGATGTCTGACTGGTAGTATTCCCGACTCACAGAATAGAGCGTCAGTGGAGTACCTTTTATTTTTTCTAAAAGCAACTTATCAACAATAATCTTTTAAAAGGTTCAATTTTCGAGACGTTACTTTCACGATCGCCGAAGCATCTGATAAGATTGTGCGATCAAGAATCACAACTACGCCACGATCGCAGGAGACGATAATGAAGTCTCTGTGACGGCAAAAGATGTTCACTATTCTTACGCAACCACAGTAGACATTCACGGTTTTGCCACGATTGAAGAAGTCTTTTAAACCAATTATTGTATAAAAATTAACAAAAAAAAAAAAAAACAATAGCTACATTTCAAAAGCAACTCAATTTTTACCGAACCTGATTTTGGCTTCAGACCCAAAGTTCAAAATTTATGACCTGACACATGAAGTAAAAAAGTCGGCAGACCACTAATATTATTATTAAAATTAAAATATAAAAATGGAATTATTGATTAGCAACTGTCCTAGGTATATTCTCTGATAGGATACTCGAAAACATAGGGTCGGGCCCATTAAGTTGAAGTGTAATTTCTAAACCCCCTTGAAGCTCCTGCCACTGAAGAGTCAGAATTAAGGGGGGCCTCAGTGGTGTGAGCCGCCGAGGGTCTCATTTCTTTACATGGATCATCAATGCCTCATGTTAATGACTACTAGGACCGAACCCTTCCAAAACATCGGAGCTGATTGTAACTTTACGTCAGATGGATGGCTTTTGATGATGTCAATGGAATAAGAAGACCAAACCAACAATACCAATATACTGTTATGACATATTTTATTTCCTTTGTTTACCCATACTTAAGATGCATGTTATAAAACCATAAAAATAATCAGACAAATGCAAGTTTATCTTATGAATATACCCGTCCTGAGGTGCATTCCAAGATAGTTATTAGTTTATTTAGTCTAGGCCATTATTTAAACAAAAGACTTTTGTTAGGTTGATATGAATGAGAAGCAGCTAGCGTGGTGTCCCCGCAAGTTGGGAGAGCAGTGTGAGCAGTTGTCCTATGTGACAAGCAGCTGTCTACAGGATCAGGTGGTGTACTGCACAACCTCCCATCAGGTACTTTCCCTAGACCTCAGGATAGGCTTTGGACAGCGATGGTCTCATATGATGGCAGCACCACCCTACCTGGGCTTCACTCACAACACTGCACAACACACCAAGTAAGCCAACTATCGTATCAGTAGGGAGAAGTTAGTTTAACTACTTATAGATTTTTTACTTTTTAAAAGATCACAAAATATCAATTTTACAAGGTTTTAACAAAAGAAAGGAATGGGAAGTCAGCATTACATTATGGAGGTCAAATAAATACCAATCAACTTATAGCAATAAGTTATTGTTGTGGAATCAGATAGCAAACATATTTTTCTGTAAAACAATTGGTATGGACAAATCAAGTTAATCACATATGACTACATTGTAAACCTGCGCACTTACAGAGTTTAATTCGATTTTTGGTACTTGCTTAGCCTAGTGATGGAGGCCTGGGTACAAATCCTGCTAGCCACCAACACTGTAGGTCTAATATCAAATATTGCATCACTGGCCATGAGGGCCTGATATCAAATCCCACTAACAACCAATGAATTCAAAACCTATAAGAAGCGCAATGCCTCTGTTTAAAATTCAGTCTGGGCCAAGTCAACTGACTGAGTGAGAGAGAGAGAGACATAGAATCAGCTTAGAGAGAGAGAGAGAGGTAGAGTAGTGCGGCCGCTGCACGCTTGATCGTAGTGGTGACAGCGCGAAGATAATTTCGGCGGAAAACTTCCAGTCTGACTATTCTTCATAAGCATTTTGCTTCTTAAAGGGTTTGTTTTCATTGCAACCACCGACACTGTGACCCAGACTGTAGGTCTAATTTCAAATATTGCATCACAGGCCGAGGGCCTGGAATAACACCCTGCTAGTCACCAACACTGTAGATTAGGGTGGGTCGAAAAAAGTATATATATTTTTAGTTGTAATACCTTGGAAAAGTTGCTAAATTGTAAGACCAAAACAGGGTAAAAATATAAAAAATATTGGTTGTTATCTTCCGGTCGTGCATGTGCTCTAAAGTTTGAAAAAATATAAAAACTCATATTTTATCAGACATTTTTACAATTTTAAAATTTTTTATTCTTAATTATGTAATAGTTTAAAATGTTATCTACAAGACACTAAGAAATTGATATTTATATGATAGTATTGTATGTTAATATCTTCCGGTCGCACATCGGCTGCAAATATTGCCAAAAATCAAGAAAAACGTCATTTTGTACTACTCTTATTTAAAACTAGCTGTGTACCCGTTCTACGCACGGGAATCTTATAGTATTCAGTTGAAACCTTCTTATATAAAGAACAGCAGTTGGTTTGCATATTTTCAGATATGCTGGCCAAAATATTATACATAACTTCATTTTATGTTTTTTGTTGTTGTTCTGGATCGGTATGTCAATCAATAAAAGGTTAAATTACCTGTGTCCGCTGGTCGATCCTAATGTATCTTATTACAGGAGATGCATTTCGGCGAAATTAAATCGCCATCATCAGTCCTAATATAAGGTCTTGAGCTTCCCCATTAGGTGCGTATTGAAGTTATTGAAACACATACACGAACTGTACACTTATACACATGACGAATAAAACATAAATACACGGTAGGCCTACTTTTATTTTTACTATGGACATGTAGACGTGCGTCGGTCGTGTGCCGAGTCTCGACTGAAAACGCTCATTTAAAAAAGGCAAGTTTCCCAGCCATATACAACACTGATTCAAGGTCTTTTTCCCAGTTATCAAAACTCAAGAACAATTTTATACACAAAGAATCTCTATTTTCATTTACGGTTACCCTACAAATTATTGCACTTGCGATTAATTAAATCCGTTATGTAAGGAAACACGTTTTTAATCTTACTTGGTTTGGATTTGCTTTCAAAACGTGATCGGAAATGGTTGCGGTATTTGTAAACAACATTCAATGTAAATATATCAGTGACAGCTAGAAGAAATAATCTTGATTCGAACAGCTGTTCGTTATTTCATAGATGAATATGTGATAAACATTGGGAGAAAACTTTATAAAAAATCGCACAGAATTGGGTTTTTTAAACGTCCGTCATTTTATTTACAAAGTAGTGACGCCATATTTTAATGGCTAAAGACAATCTCGCCGATCCAGTGAATACATTAAAATGTTTTGGAACTTGATAGGTACTCTCGTTTTTTAGGAGAAGGCCGCGTAAAATGGCTCTTGGGCTGTGACAGACAGGAAGACAGACAGACAGACAGACAGAAATTTAGATGAGACTTGTTTCGGTTTCTTTGAATCTTTGTATATGTATAAAACGTAAAAATAGCCTTAAAGTTTATGATTCTGAGCAATGTACAGACAAAACTATAATTTTTATTTATATAGATATAATAATCAATATCAAAATGTAATTCCCAGAATCTGTTTGTAGACATTCAGATAGTAACCTAAGAAACACAACAGGCAATGTCAGAATTGATCTTCCGGTCACGCATAGTCCAGTCACAAATTCACTTTAGCGCGGCACTTTGGGGTCAGTGACCTGGGCGTCGCCATGTGATTTAGAAGTTTAAGATTCTAAAATTGAACAACAGGATGATAATGTATCTCTGTGCTCACAAACTAAAATTTACAATCCTAGTGACAGCAACCAAGAATCATTACCTAAACTTCCAAAAAAGAAGACCTATGGTAGGCAAATGAGGATTAACTCTACTGCATTGGTTAACAATCGTTATGGTGTTTCCAATCGTGCTACAACTGCAATGGAACTACAATTTAGCAACATTTCCAAGGTATTATAACTAAAAAAAATAAGAATATTAGTGATTTTTTTCAATCCACCCTACTAATGTCAAATATTGTATCACTGTCCATGGAGGCCTGGGATCAAATTCTGCTAGCCACCAACACTGTGACCCAGGCCTAATATCAAATATTGCATCACTGGCCATGGAGGCCTGGGATCAAATTCTGCTAGCCACCAACACTGTGACCCAGGCCTAATATCAAATATTGCATCACTGTCCATGGAGGCCTGGGATCAAATTCTGCTAGCCACCAACACTGTGACCCAGGCCTAATATCAAATATTGTATCACTGTCCATGGAGGCCTGGGATCAAATTCTGCTAGCCACCAACACTGTGACCCAGGCCTAATATCAAATATTGCATCACTGGCCATGGAGGCCTGGGATCAAATTCTGCTAGCCACCAACACTGTGACCCAGGCCTAATATCAAATATTGCATCACTGGCCATGGAGGCCTGGGATCAAATTCTGCTAGCCACCAACACTGTGACCCAGGCCTAATATCAAATATTGCATCACTGGCCATGGAGGCTGTCAGGCTCTTGAATTAAAACACTACATTTTATGCTGAAGTACAGTTTATTAAGTTGCAAATGGATAACTTTTACATAACTGAATAACGGAATTTAGGTTAGACATCATCAATACTCATTGGAGGTTATAGATCTGAGAGAAAACGGAAGCATAGAAATACAAAATAATACAGTAGCAGTACTACCAAGGCAACTGCCTTAAAAGCAAAGACTTATAAAAATAAACTTAATCTCACTATAAAAATATCAGTTTATAACATTCCTCCCTCCTTAGGAAAAATTCAAAAAATAACAATATCACTTCAAGTTACCTACAAGTTTTGATTTATAGGCTACATTAAATTGAAAACTAACACATCGGAAAACAAAATCAATTTTATACGCTTAGTAACTTAAAAATAGTAACATGAAAATAACTACAACCTTATTTACTCATAAGAAGATGGCGAGAACCTTTTTGGCTTTTTAATTTCTCGTTTAGGTCTACCCGTTGGTGAAGCATTAGGCCTAATTACCAATTCAGGTGGGTTACCTCGGTTGAGAGGTGATTGGTCAGGTGCAGGCGTTAGGTTAGGTGAAGGCGTTAGGTTAGGTGATGATGTTAGGTTAGGTGAAGGCGTTAGGCTACCAGTATTTTGGTTGGAACCAGGACTAGGTGTAGAACATGGGTTTGTTACACTACTAACAGGTGACCTTTGCTCAGAACTAGTACCAGGTAGTATTTGATTAGCATGACGCTTCCATGTTAGACCGTCTGCTGTTTGAACAACATAAGTTTGTGTTCCTAGACTCTCACTAACAACCGCAGGTTGCCATTTACCTTGGTTAGCTCGAAAATCACGAACATTCACATTTTGACCTGACTCAAAACCAACATTTCTTTTACCTTTAAAATTAGACACCTGTTTACATTGGTTTTTCTCAACAATGTCTTCTGTGCTAGGTATTAACAGATCAAATACACATCTTAAGCTTTTGTTAAACAATAACTTAGCTGGAGATTCTCCAGTGGTCGTATGAGGTGTGTTACGATATTGAAACAAAAAATTGTTCAAATAACTTGAAAGATCTGCACCGTTTGACTTAGGCACTTTACGAATGCAGTTTTTGATTATTTTCACTGCACTTTCCCCCTCCCCATTAGATTGTGGATGAAAGGGTGCACCAACAAGATGCTGAATTCCCAATTTGCGGAGATAATTTTGAAACAAAGCGCTTGTGAAGCAAGAGGTTAAAAACCTAGGCAGTCCAAACCGTGCAAATATTTCTGACAGTTTGTTGATTACTACTTCAGAAGTAGTATTGTACACAATAAAATTCTCTATCCATTTTGAGTGAGCATCCATCACTACAAAACAATATAGATTGTTGCAAATAGGGCCTAGAAAATCTACATGTAAACGCGTCCAAGCTTTTCTTGGCCAAGTCCAAGGCTTTAAAACTGACTTGGGAGGTACATCTCGGAATTTACTACATACATCACAGTTTCTTGACAACTCATCAATTTGGCTATCAAGGTTAGGCCACCAAAAATATGACCTAGCGAGTGCTTTCATTTTGTTTGCACCAAAATGATTTGAATGCAACTCATGACAAATAACTTTCCTTAACTTAAACGGAATTATAACTCTGTAACCCCACATTACACATCCATGATCCACTGTTAACTCATGAAACCTATTACTATATGGTTTGAAATCTGGGTCATCAGGTAATTTGTTACCATGCATGATTGCACTAGCAACCTTGGACAAAACTGGGTCAACTGAAGTTTCCAACTTGACTTTTCTCCAGTTTACTACAAATGGGCAACTTTCATGTACATAATGTAAATAGCCTAAATCGTCTACATTAGATATTGAGTGATTATTTACAGAATCAAAATCAGTACGTGACAAAAAATCAGCTACGTTACATTCAGATTTGACAAATTTTATGTCAAAATTGTAGTTAGACAAAATGAAAGACCAACGTTGGAGTCTGTTTGCCGCATACACAGGAATACCCTTTTTAGCACCAAAAATATACACAAGAGGTTTGTGATCAGAAATTAGAGTGAAATGCTTACAAAACAAGAAATCATGAAATTTGGTTACACCAAAAACAATACTCAGTGCTTCTCTCTCAATCTGAGGATAGCGAGCTTCCGCATCGCTCAATTTCCTTGACGCATAAGCGACTGGGTGTTCGCTTTTGTCAGGGTACACATGGCTTAAAATTGCACCAACAGATTTTGCTGACGCATCAACAGTTAACTTTATTGGAAGGTCTGGGTCAAAGTGAGCTAACACAGGTTTAGAGGTTAAGATTTCCTTAATCCTCGTCACCGATCTTTCACAATCATGAGTCCACTGCCATGGGACATCCTTACGCAATAATTCATACAATGGTTGCAAAATTTTGGCAGCATTAGGGATAAACTTAAGGTAAAAAGTTACCATACCCAGAAATGACTTAAGCATACTTACATTGTCAGGTGTTTTGGCTTGTAAAATAGCTCTTACATGTTTGTCAGTTGGGTGAAGCCCATTACGGTCAATACGATGTCCTAGGTACACAATAGATTCTTTGGCAAAAGAACATTTCTCAGACTTTACTTTTAGACCGCAACTCTGAAGTAAACCTAACACATTTTCCAATCTAGAGTTGTGCTCAGTTAAGTCTTTACCTGTAACATAAATATCATCCAAAAGAGCACCGACACCCTCCATTGAACATAACAAGTTGTCAATTACTCTTTGAAATTCAGCTGGGGCGCTTTTAATACCATAACATAACCTTGTATATGACATTAAACCCATATGGGTATTGATAGTGGTCAAATGTTGACATTCCTCAGTCAAAAGCAATTGTTGATAAGCATCCTTAAGATCTATCTTAGAAAAATAACATGCACCACTAAACTTAGCATAAATGTGATCAATACGAGGCAAGGGGTACTCAGTACCTTCTAATACAGGGTTGATTGTCAATCGGTAGTCACCACATATCCTGACGGATCCATCGGGTTTTAACACAGGCACTATTGGTGTAGCCCACTGGCTATAGTCAACTTTCTTGAGAATACCAAGGTTAATTAACCTATTTAATTCATTTCCAACTGGTACCTTTAACGCAATAGGTAGAGATCTTGCTTTAAAAAACTTGGGTGTGGACCCTTGAGAAATATTAAGTGTCACTTTGTACTTATTAAAAGTACCTAACTTGTTGTCAAAAACTTCAGGGAAATTCTTGAGAACCGTACTTACACAGCTTGGTACATCAGATAGGCTAGAAGTTGTAATTAAAGGTGTAGGCCTAATGAAATCATTTCCCTTTAATTCGCAATCATTCCGCGATGGTTGGATGTTATTGAGGTCAATGTGAACCGTATTGTTACATAACATTCCCAAAGTACGCATGCCATCCCTACCTAATAGGGGTGGTCCACCATTTGGGACAACATAAAAAATTAGCTTATGTGGCACCTCACTAAACTTGGAATCAATGACAAACTTACCAATAGGCTTAATAACATGACCTACATAATCAGTTAGTTGAATGTCACTTTCACACAGTTTTTCAGAGGAACAAAAGTTGTTATAAAACTGCTGAGAAACAACATTGTACATAGATCCAGAGTCAATTTCCATCATCATAGGCTTACCTTGAATTTCAATTGGCACTTTTAAAGGTTGAACATATTTTAAGTCCGAGTCTGGCCTATGTTTAAACTTCACAGAGCTAGGGGGCTCAACTTCAATTTTAAAAAATGTTTCCCCTAAATTAACTTCATCTGCGTCATTAAGATCTTGATCTGCATCTCCGTTCTGCGCTGTGGCATTTTCACTAAGTTTACCGGTACCGTCCATAAACTTGGCTTTAAATTTTGGTAGGCCCTGTTTTTTATTAAACTTTGGCTTACCTTTCTTCTTACACACCGGAGCTAAATGGCCCTTTTCGTTGCAAATGTGACAGATGTAGTCCTTGTAGTTGCAATCAGCGCTGGAATGGTTAGTCCTGCCACAATGGTTACACTTAGGCTTAGGCCTAAAAGAGAACTGGTTATTACCACTAGGCTTACTCATCTTGCTGTATCCATGTTTATACTTGGATAACTGGTTACAATCTGCAGGTTCAGACTTAATAGGCAACAAATTTTTGTCGCTTACCTCCTTGGAGACAGCTAAATTTAACATTTTGTCAAATGTAGTTGTGGTCTTCGAAGCATCCTCCTCGAACAGCCTATCTTGGATTTTGGGGTCTCTAAGGCCCAAAGTTAACACATCACGCATAAGCAGTTCCAATTCTGTATCGAAACCACATTCACCTGCTAGACTCCTTAACCGGGCTGCAAATTCTCTAATGGATTCATTGTGGTCCTGTCGAGCCTGATAGAACTTTCTCCTACTGGCAAAATAGGAATGAATAGGCTTAAAATGAGATTCTAATAATTTGATTAGATCATCATACTTGAGGTCAGAGAACTTCTTAGGTACACTCAAACTTGTGAGTAACCTAAATGTATTATCCGAAATGGAAGTAATAAGCAAAGCCTTTTTCTTTTCTTCATCTTTAATTTCATTGACAATAAAAGAATTCTCTAATTTTGACTTGAAAATAGCGAAATCGCCAGAAGAGTGATCAAAATATAGAGTATGTTGGTTCATCTTGAAACCTTATGGTCTGTTACCTTATTTGACGAATATACGTTCATCGGTGGTTTTGCACACATTTGTCGATTTTTCCATCGTCGCCATTTGTCAGGCTCTTGAATTAAAACACTACATTTTATGCTGAAGTACAGTTTATTAAGTTGCAAATGGATAACTTTTACATAACTGAATAACGGAATTTAGGTTAGACATCATCAATACTCATTGGAGGTTATAGATCTGAGAGAAAACGGAAGCATAGAAATACGAAATAATACAGTAGCAGTACTACCAAGGCAACTGCCTTAAAAGCAAAGACTTATAAAAATAAACTTAATCTCACTATAAAAATATCAGTTTATAACAGAGGCCTGGGATCAAATTCTGCTAGCCACCAACACTGTGACCCAGGCCTAATATCAAATATTGTATCACTGGCCATGGAGGCCTGGGATCAAATTCTGCTAGCCACCAACACTGTGACCCAGGCCTAATATCAAATATTGCATCACTGTCCATGGAGGCCTGGGATCAAATTCTGCTAGCCACCAACACTGTGACCCAGGCCTAATATCAAATATTGTATCACTGTCCATGGAGGCCTGGGATCAAATTCTGCTAGCCACCAACACTGTGACCCAGGCCTAATATCAAATATTGCATCACCTGCCATGGAGGCCTGGGATCAAATTCTGCTAGCCACCAACACTGTGACCCAGGCCTAATATCAAATATTGCATCACTGGCCATGGAGGCCTGGGATCAAATTCTGCTAGCCACCAACACTGTGACCCAGGCCTAATATCAAATATTGCATCACTGGCCATGGAGGCCTGGGATCAAATTCTGCTAGCCACCAACACTGTGACCCAGGCCTAATATCAAATATTGTATCACTGTCCATGGAGGCCTGGGATCAAATTCTGCTAGCCACCAACACTGTGACCCAGGCCTAATATCAAATATTGTATCACTGTCCATGGAGGCCTGGGATCAAATTCTGCTAGCCACCAACACTGTGACCCAGGCCTAATATCAAATATTGCATCACTGGCCATGGAGGCCTGGGATCAAATTCTGCTAGCCACCAACACTGTGACCCAGGCCTAATATCAAATATTGCATCACTGGCCATGGAGGCCTGGGATCAAATTCTGCTAGCCACCAACACTGTGACCCAGGCCTAATATCAAATATTGCATCACTGGCCATGGAGGCCTGGGATCAAATTCTGCTAGCCACCAACACTTGACCCAGGCCTAATATCAAATATTGCATTACTGGGGCTTCTTACATTGATTTGTCTCCTGTTAGCAACTTATTCCACAATTATAAATATTGGTAAAATGTTTAATCATAAATCTATACTTTTTTCTTAAATCATATGTCTACGAGCCTTTTGAAACTTATCATAATTTGTAATAGAATGTTTCCTGAAAAAAAATTGAAATTGATTTGTATTAGGGAGTTATAAATAAAAAAATTTGGTTATATATTCACAAAACATTTTAAATGTTTCCTAAAACTTTGCACTTTTACAGCCAGGAGATTCTATGCATCGGCAGTCAGGTGATGTCAGACTGTATATGCATCGTCAACTGCTGGAGAGGGGGTAACCCTCAAGCAGAGTATCGTCCAATATCCCTCCCCTCCCCCTGTCGTGGACTCATACTAGCTCGCCAGCAGGGGGTGTGTCTTGAGCCTACACTTAGTCAAAGGTTGGTCGCAATTCAAAAACTAACATAGTACATCAAGTACAAGACTAATCAGTAGTAAGCTTACACAGGAGAACTGTAATAAATTTAATCGGTAAATTCAATTCAACCAATGAATTGTCAGTGCTTTTAAGGTTGCTGTAGAACAACAAACTCGGGCTTAAACACAATGCCTTTAGTTTAGCCTTAATGAAAGGTCTACATTTGAAATATTAATACAATAACTAAATAAATATAGGATGGAGAGGACACAGCTAACTCACCTAAAAAAAAAAAAAAAAAAGCTAAACTCTTTGACTCGTCTGCAACCTTTCATCAGGTGAGTTAGCTGTGTCCTCTCCATCCTATATTTATTTATTTAATCCAAGCTAAATGCTTTTTCCTAAAAACATAATACAATAATTACAAATTTTAGACTCATGTGCTGGACTAAAAGCTTGAGCTCGAGTATCCATCACACAGTCCGTCAATAATAAAAAATATCTTTTTAAAGCTTTTTGTGATTTTTATTCTTTTATGTTGAAAGTTAAAAAATATAAATATTTTCTTTACCCATAGCTGTTAATTGTTAATGGATCCTCATGATTCATTGTGGCGACAGTAAATAGCAAAATAATTAATAGCTATAAATATTACTAGTCTATTTAAACAATTGTTGTTTACTTGGACAGGTTTTCTCAGAGTATGATCGGACTGACATGCTTACCAAGCACAAATGGTTTGCATGTTGTGAGACAGTCTGCAACAGGGGATGTGTTCCTACAAGAGCTGTCTCAGTCAAAGGGAGATGAACCTAGTAGACTGACTAGTGATCAGCTTACTGCATACTCTGAGTGGAGCAAGCCAGCCTTGTCTCTACAAAGGGACACCACCACTGTCAGTGTCACAGATGTCAAGAACCTCACACCATTACTTGAAGGTATGAAAACTACACATGCTTTTTGCTATGAATTTCAAGATAGTTGATCAAATCTATACTAATATCCCGTGGCCACTCAAATCCAAGTTTATATTTGGCTTCTCCAAGAAGTTTCCTTCAGACTCCTCTGTCCTCCACCATGTCCACTTCTCGCCCAATTCTTACATGCCCAGCCACTCGGTCGCTCCATCTTAATCTTAGTCTTCCTAAGCCGCCTTCTTTCTGGTTGACCTCTCCACACCCTTTTTATTGTTGCATTCTCCTATATTCTCTTCTCTCATGACCATGACTAAGCCCTTCTCCCACTTCTTATCAGAGCCACAATATCTGGTCTTCTCTACAGGTGCCAGGGTTGGAACATTTTCAGAATCCACTAAACCCTGTCTTTGAATATTAGTCCATGTATAATTCTAATTGTTTTATTTTCACACAAATAACTTTTTATGGATCTGTTTTGTTCGGTTCCATATTTCTCCGAGGAGAAAGTGTGCAAATCTATCTATTCCGTCTGAATTGAATAAATATTCTAGAGGGGGGCCGATACCGATACTCGATACCAAAATACTCTCGATACCAGCGGTATCGAGGTATCGTCGATACTCGATACTTGCCTGTTTTGGGTTCGAAACCGATACTGACACTGAACCACTGAATGCTACGAATCTTCAGTCAGAGCGCCGAGCGGGTAAATTGCCATTGCCGTTACGAATCCTAGCTGTTTGCCTTCTTAGTTAAATACACTCGCAACTCGAGTCGAGTAGTAGAGGTTAAGCCGATTTCGTTGATATTTGACAAGTAAATAATAAGAAAGGAAAATGTTTGAGTTTTATTTAATCCCTTAACCTCTTTCAATATTGACATACTAGGCCTAATAATAATCGGCAACCTAGACATCGCTTGCGTCATCCATTTCACTGACAGCGACAGCTGACACTGGGTGATAGTGATAGGTAGTGGTGTGCAGCGAGTGCGATGCATTGAAATTTCAATTCGATTCTAAAAAGGGATGTGTCGATTATCGTCATCGATATCACCATCCATTGGTTACCACTTGGACATTGGTATCGGTTCGGTACCAAGACTCGATTGTCAAAAGTCGATTCCGATGACACCGACACCCGACAAGGATAAATATTTTATTTTAACATTTATTAACAGCTACAGTATTAGTTTTGTAATCACGGTTAACAATTTTCATAGCCAACTTAGAAACTATCTAGTTCAAAACAGCAACGGTGCCGGTGACATTGTTTAGCTTCAGCTCATTGCACAACACAATCTACATTTCAAGATATCAAACTATAGACCAATATCTATCCTTCCAACACTGTCTAAATACATAGAAAAAAACATACATACCCAATTGATGAACTTCCTAGAAAATAATAATAAAATTTCTCAATCACAGCATGGATTTCGGAATGGTAAATCCACCAACACTGCATTAGCAACCCTTTGTGATAAAATAACTGATATATGGGAAAATAAATCTCAAGCAACCGGTATCTTCTTGGACATAGAAAAAGCATTCGACAGCTTGGACAGAAAAATTCTTATAAAAAAACTTCAACAACTTAATATCACTCATAAAGCATTAGATTGGATACAAGACTATTTAACTAACAGGAAGCAACAAGTCGAAATAGAATACACAAAGAACTACTATGAAATTAAATACAGGTCTAAACTTCAGACAACCAATCAAGGAATTCCACAGGGCTCCATACTGGGCCCCCTACTTTTCTTAACATACATAAATTCATTTCCCACCAATTTTACAGAAGACAGTGCCTGTATAATGTTTGCAGACGACACAACAATCATCACACCAACAGATGGAAAAAACGTAGAACTTCAAAAATCCAAAACAAACGAAACCCTACAAATCTCTACAGCTACTTGCAACGAAATAAACTTAACAATAAATAAACAGAAAACAATAGTAATAAACTTCAAACCTACAAACCATAACAATGAAAATTCAACTGCAGATGAACACTCACAAACTAACACTAAATTTCTTGGAATAATATTGGACAAAAACCTAACATGGCATGATCACCTTCTAAAACTGGGTGGAAAGCTGTCACAAGTTGTATATGCACTAAGAAGAATTAGAAGACTAACAAACAAAGAAATCACTATAACTGCTTATCATGCAATTTTTTCATCACATATCAGATATGGCATAATAGCCTGGGGCTCTGCAAATGAAATCCACATCGAGAAAATAATAACCTCACATAAGAAAGCGATTCGGATAATAGAACAAATCGATCAAGATGAACCACAAGCCCACTGCAAACCTCTTTTTATCAAAAACCAAATCCTAACTGTAATCTCCCTTTACCTTTTTGAAACTATTACCTCAATCAAATCAAATCCTCCCCAACTCAGAACCCAATGTCACAACTACAATATCAGAAACAAAACAAATCTAGACTTAGGGTACCATAGGCTAAACAAAACCAGCAAAACTCCAAACAACATGGGGATCAAAATGTTTAATCTCTTGCCAAAGAAACTCAAAGAAATAAATGAAAATAAAGCCTTTAAAAAACAACTCAAACAATACCTTATTGAACGTCCATATTATAAATTAACTGAATTCATCAACGAACACAAATATAACCTAAACAATAAATAGGAAAGCAATGCTCAATTACACTCTCACACACATACACTATTACAAGAAATTGACGATTCCCCTGTCTACAAGGACGGCGGAGAAGACATCGATGGTAAATGGTAAATGGTAAAGATGTCAGACTCAACTCAAGAGACAACCTGCGCGTGAATGTCCTGCCAACACGAAATTAATTAATCAATCAATCAAATCACTTTATTTGTCCTTGTACATGTCATTACAAGAAATGGCGTCAAATATAAAACTAAAAAACAATACAATTATAAATTAAAAAAAAACTACCACGACTGCTTCATAATTTTGTTGTATTCATAAAATTCCTATATTGAGTAAATGGGTTTGTTGATCAAATATATTTTCAATTTACGTTTTAGTTTGTTATTGTTTTTTTCTGATCTTAGTTCATTCGGAAGTGCTTTAAAGAATTTATTGCCAATGTATGTCGTCTTTTTTTTTTTTTATTCCAATCTATGTTTTTCAAAATGTTTTTTGTGTATTATATTGATGACCTATTGGTTGTACATAAGTTTTTGTTATAAAAAATAAGATGCATTCAAAAATATACAGACCATACACAGTTAAAATTTTAAGATTTTTGAAGTGTTCTCTTGCGGAGTCATCATCTTCAAGTTTGAGTTGAGTTTCATCTAATTGCTTTTTTCTGTAGGTTTAGAATTGTATTCAGATTATTTATTGTTGTTGCACCATACAAGCCAATTCCATAAGAAATATTAGTGTGAATCAGAGCAAAATATATTTGTTTTAGTACAGGCAATGAGCATAGGCTGGCCATACGCCTTAAGGCGAATAAACCGGAGTTAATTTTTCTCGATATATGTTCGACATGTTTGTCCCAGCATAGGTTTTCATCAATATATAGACCTAAAAATTTAGCCTCATTCACTTGTTCAATAATTTCATCTTCAATCATTATATTTGGAGATATTTTTTTACGATTTTGCTTTGTGGAAAATGTAATAAATTTAGTTTTATTTGGATTTAACAAAAGACTATTATTATTGAAGTATTGCTTTATATTAGCTAATTCTATAAAACTTAAATATTCAATTTCATTTTGGTTCCTTGCTGAGATTTTTAAATTTGCGTCATCTGCATATAAACATAAATTACTATGGGGAACAGTCTGTAGCACTTCAGGAAGTCCGGTTATGTAACATAAGAACAGCAAAGGACCCAGAATCGATCCCTGTGGGACGCCACATGAGACCAAACATAAGTCCGATGCTGCGCCCGTGATCCTATTTGAAATGGTTTGATTAATTTCAACATACTGATATCGGTCGGAAAGGTATGACTTAAACCAATTGTATGCAACTCCCTTGACACCAAAGTTCAATAATTTATCAAGTAATAGATGATGATTTACGCTTTCAAAAGCTTTTGTTAAATCCATAAATATGCCCACTACGTTCTCCCCTTTATCTATGGACTCTATGATGGATTCAATAAATGAAACGGCTGCAGTGAAAACCGATTTTCTGGGCCGAAATCCGTGCTGGGACATATCTAGAATGTTTGAATTTTCTAAGAATTGGGATAATCTTCTGTACATGACTTTTTCATAAATTTTTGAAAAGGATGGCAGAATCGAAATTGGACGATAATTGGACATGTCTTTTGTAGAATCTTTTTTATGTATAGGTACAACTTTGGATATTTTTAATTTTTTTTTAAAAATGCCAGATATTAAAGAAGAGTTAACCAGATGAACTAAGATTTTACATAGGTGTATTTTTGCAGATTTTATTATAGTTACAGGAATTTCATCAAACCCATATGATTGCTTATTAATATTTTAATAATTTCGTTTTCATCTGTGGGCTCACAGCGAAAAGTCTGATTATGAGGAGAGAGACTACTTGAAAGACTATTTTTCTGTACACTAGGTTCTATATCTGGTTTTGTTTGAAGATCTTTTATACAGTTTATAAAATAATTGTTTAACAAATTACTTATAACTAAAACATCAGATACATTCTTATTATCTACAGTCAATTCTAGATTTTGTTTGTTTTTGGGCAGAACTCCAACCTCAGTATTTACTATTTTCCAAGTTGTTTTAATGACATTTTCTGATTCAATTATCTGCTTATTATAAAAATTGGTTTTTGAATCTTTTAACATTTTCCTATATAACTTATTTTTCTCTTTAACATATTTCTTCAATTCTTTGTTTTTTGTTACTCTAGCTTCTTTTTCTAAGTCAATAATATTGTTTCTTTGCTGTTTTATTTCTTCTGTGACCCAGGATTTTTGCTTATAATTTATCCTTTTAACTTTTTTAGGAAAAGCTAAGTTAAAATGATACATAAAAATATTGAGAAACTTATCA